CCCCGATTCTCTCTGCCCTTTTATCCTTGTTAGGAATCATTAAGGAAAATGGTTGTTTTCCAGAGCCAGGCCGGGGCCATCTGCTCTCCCAGCGCTGCCTAAATCCCCCTGTAACAAATTCATTGGGATTACGCTGCCCTCCCCTAATCCTGGCCCATCCCCCCGCGTGGGGGATTTAAAAGGATTAGAGCCCGGCCGATAATAAACTTTATTAAGGGGGAGGGGGGGTGTCAATCCGATTTGGAGCCTTTTTCTTGATATCTTCACTTTGCCCAGGTGGGAGGTGAGGGCTGGCAGGATRGGGAAGAGAGTGCCCAGCTCCATTGCTGCCCTGGCTCTGCAAACTCTGGCTCCTCYGGCCCTTCCTCCCTCACCTGCCTGTGAAATAAATTTTCTCTCTCCGTTTTTCCTTCAACGTTTGTACACGCTAACACCTCCAGGCGTTGAGGGGCTGGCACCCCTGCCCTGCCACCTCTGCTCCACTTGGCCGTGGCCAGGCTTGAGCGGGTGTTCAGTGGCCTTGTCCCAGCAGGGAGCGGGGCTGGGTCCCCCAGGCGTGTGCTGGCCCTGCCCACYGCCGGATGATGGATGGGGAAGGTCTCAGCGCTGCCGCCCCGCTGCCTCCCTCTCCTTGATTTCCCTGGGGGGTTCCCCCCAACATCAATAACCCCCCGTGCGCCCCCTCCCTGCCAGCTGCTCCCCCGTGTGGGACCGAGGGATTGCCATGTGGGGCTGCCCGTGCTTACCTCAGCCCCAAAAGATCGCGGTGGGGTGGGCAGGGGGTGCAGCAGCTGGGTGCGTGGAGGCTGCAGCAGGAGGGTGAGGGGATTAGGGCTGGGGAGGTGGGCGCTGCCGGAAGGGGGTTAGCGGGATGCCCAGATTAGCATCCCCGACAGGCCCGCAGCCTAAAGCTGCTGTGCACGCAGGAAAAAGAGAGTCTAGTAAATAGACTTTCCGTAATCCTGTTTGGTGCAGTCCCAATCCTCCCGGCCCCGGCTCTGCYGGGCTGTGGCACCGGGGTGTACCCCTCCAACACCTGGGGAACCCCAGTGCAGGGCACAAAGGGGCCGGGCTGCTGCAGGGCTCGGAGTGTCCCCCACGCTGTGTCCCCTCTCAGGGTGACTCGGGGACGGGCCCCCCCTCCAACCCTGGCACGGGGGGACACCAAACTGCCGTGGCCACGCTCACAGGTGGCACAGGCTGTCCTGGGRGGGCCGCACTCCAAGCCCCCCGAGGTGCCCTCCCTGCAGGGGTTACCCGTTCCCAGCACCGCCACCAGCCCGGGGGTCCCTGGGGCCAATTACCCAAATGGCCGCRGGCTGGCGCGAGGCGGCCGCTATTACCTAATACAATTTACCCTCAAGTGCAATTTAATTTTCCACGAGGCCGATGGCCAGTCCCCCGCACACCCAGCCACCTTCCCACCCCTTCGGCACTCGCTCCTTTCAGCCTTGCCCCTCTTCCCTTTCCCTCCTCGGCACGGGCAAGAGCCTTTCTCCAGCGGCATTCCCTCTCCACCCGCGCTCCGGTCCTGAAAACACCGGGGGTTCGCTGAGCGCCGATTAATTTTCAATTACAATTAGCGACGGCCCGTGCCTGCGAGGGGAGAGGCTTTCCCCGGCGGCTGGTGAGTACCCGGGTTTCGATACGCTTGTCCTCGCTGCAGGCCAGCCCTGGCATTGGGATGTGTGTGGGAGGGGTAATTATTGGGATCATTCAGAAGCGAGGGGCGGTGGGGGCTCAGGGTGCTGTGGCCGGCGCTGCCCAGAGGGGAGGTGGCTTCATGCCAAGGTGTGGCTGTGGCAGCTTCGGACCTGCGAGGGTGTTCCCCCCGGCTCTGGGGGAGCTGGTTTTGTCACACGAGGGGACTCTGGGAGCTGGGCTGACACCTGGCAAACTTCGCTGCATGAGTGGCACAAAGCCTCAGCTCCCTGGCACCTCCAAACCCGCTTGAGATTTACTGACTGAACGAGCTGCATTCACACTCCCCATGAGGCAGGAGTGGGTTTTCCTAATATTTCCTTATATTCCTTTATATTTCCCCCAATTCTGCCCTRAAAGCCCCTTGTTGCACCAGGAAACAATGCTCCAGTGTCCCCCTCGGTGACMCAGCGTCGCAGTCAGCCCTAATTCCGACGTGCCCAGGGCTGGGGCACACGCGGGGAGGCTGGGGCTGTGTGTCGGCACAGGCTCTGGGATTTACCTGCATTTTATTAATGATTAGTGCCAGCAGGGAAGGTGTGGGCGCACCATCCCCGTTCATCTGTGGGTTTTGTATCATCGCCKCGTGTCTGCATCTGGCTGCAGGGCCAGAGGGCTTCAGGCAATGCCAAGCAGGGAGCAGGGCATCCGTGCGGGGCAGAGCCCCCCAGAACTGCCCCAGAAATGCAACTGGATGAAAACCGTGCCATTCACCCTTCTGCAGGCTGGGCAACACCGACCCCGAGCTCAGTTTCAGCTCTGGAAGGGGGCATTTCACACCTAGCACGTATGACCCCGCTCCCTGGGCACCACCAGGACCCAGCAGCACTTTGGGTGGCACGGATGGGGTTTGCTGGGTGAGCAGATCATGCCCATCTCAAACACCCTCTCCTTCCTGTGAGCTGGGAAAAGCAGACTCAGAAGGGACCAAAAAGCCCAAAGTGACCTAAAAAAAATCCCCAAAGAGACAAAAACCCCCACCAACATAAGGAACAGATGGACAGCAGGAAGGATGGAGGGGAACAAAGCAGTGTTACCAGGAGAGGAAGGGATGAAGGCTCTGCTGGGAGGGAAGATGTGTCTGAGCGAGTAGGGGGAAGATGCTGGTGGGGTGGGGTTTTTGGTGGTGGCAGCCCCCACGTCCTCCCCCTGGCACACGATGCTTCCCCAAGGTGCAGGCTCGGTGCTGTGTGGTTCCCTTTGCTCGCTCACCACTTCCGTGAGTGATCCAGAGCAGGGCAGAGGGGCTGGATCAATCTGGCAAAGCAGAAAAATGAATGAAAATTGAATTCCCCGATGAGAAGGGGGTGGAGGGGGAGCTGTTATCCCGGTTGAGAGATAAATCAGAGCGTGCCGGAGAGCTGGGAGACCGCGATGACTCCCAGCAGCGGTGGAATAATTAGGGAAATAGGTTGGAAATGCAAAGCAGCAGGGCAGGGCAGGGATGGGGCAATGTCCGTCTGGCCGTCTGTCCACGCGTCCGGCTAAACTTCTCCCGTAAATCTGCCTGAGGGAGCTGCCTTTGTGCGTGGGGGAGCCACGCTCCGGCTGGCTGGGGACAGGGGGGGAAGGTGGCCCCTGTCCCCGGGGGCTGCTGAGCGCAGGTGGCCGGGGGCGACGGGGGACTGGCTGTGCTTAATGCACTTAAAGAGCTGGCGTGTGATTTAGGGGAGAAGGGGATGGGATATGGGATGGGATGGGATGGGATGGGATGGGATGGGATGGGATGGGATGGGATGGGATGGGATGGGATGGGATGGGATGGGATGGGATGGGATGGGATGGGATGGGATGGGATGGGATCAATGGGATGGGATCAATGGGATTCCCCTCCCTGTGGTGGGAAGCCGACTTTGGCATTCGGTGAACTGTAGGGTGAGCTCACTCCTGCCATGAGCGCACACTGGTCTCTGCACAGAGGTGTGAGATGAGCTGGACGGGCTTTTTCTGGTAAGAATGAAGCTTTGGGGGTCAAACCCCAGCATCTTATAGAAAAAACTTCCATTTTTTTTCCCTAAGGAACTATCAGATTTAATACATTTTTTAGCTTTTATTGCTTCTATTTTTAAACCTTTTCCCCCAGTCGCTGGCTCAATCCACCTGCACATTTCCTGACAGGGGAGGGTTTCGGGCTTTATTTCAGGCGGGAAAAGCCTCTTCTTAACTTGCATTCCATGGAAATGAAGGCTTGGCATGGGCACACCTGAGATGAGGTGGCTGGGTAAGCACCCTCTGTCCCCTGCCAGCTCTGCCACCGCGGGTCTCACCCTGCTCGGTGCTCTAAGCACAGCGGGATGGCCCAGCACATCGGGGCTGTTTGGCACCACTGTCCCCGAGGTGGCGACACGGTGAGCGTCAGGAAGGGTGATTGATGCTCCAGGCACCCACTCTGACTGACTTCAGCTGTATTTCTGTAGCTCCCTCGCTCATCCCTTGGCTGCCGGGTACCACCACATCAGTTTCCATCTGGTGCTGCTGGCTGGGTTGTCCCAGGGTTTTCCCTCAGCGAATCCCATGGGGATCCTCATGGAAGCCGTAACCGCACTGAGCCCTTTGCTCGGTGTCTTTGGCATTGCCACCCTTGTGCCACCAGAGCCAGCGGGCTGCCAGGCTGGACGTGCTGCAGCACTGCGGAGCTGGGCTGGCTCTCTCCATGCCCAGATGTGTCCCTGGAGAGGCACCGCTGCGACAGGCTCCAGAGGTGTGGCAGCAGAGCTTGCCGAGGCGGGGTGACAGCCCTGGGCACTCAKGGGGCGCGGGATGGTGAAGTGCCGGTGTCCGCCGGAGCCGGGGAAGTGTCCCTTGGCTAAGCCCCCATTCCCAGCGGTAGGAGGGACAAGGATGGGGCTGTGAGCCCCAAGTGGGGACTCGCCAACGCCTTCCATGGAGCCGCGGAAGGTCCTTGAGCCCCGAGAGCGGAGCGCGACCGCGGACCCGGGCTCATCCCCGTCTGTCCCCAATGGCACCCCGGACACAGCCCGGGCCAGGGCCCCGCCCCTTCCCCGAAAGCTCCGCCCCCCGGCTAACAAGCCCCGCCTCCCAGCCCTCGGGCCACGCCCCCGGGGAGCGGAGCGGGCGGTGATTGGCTGCGAGGGGCCCGTCCCGCCCCCGCCCCCCTGCGGGCGGTGACGTCAGGCGCGCTCCCCGCAGGGGAATGAATGGGAGGCGGGCGGCACCGGCGGGCACCGCCACCGGGACACGGCACCGGGACACGGCACCGGGACACGCCACCTCCCGCCGCCGGGCTCCGCCGGCCCGGCCCGCGGCTCTCCCGCCCCTCTTCTCTCCCCTCCGCCGCCCCCCGGGCCAATAAAATGATGCAAAGCTCCGCGCTCGCTGCCGAAGGGGCTGTCAAGGGGCTTCCCGAGATCCTCGGTGTGCCGGTGCAACGTAAGGACGCTTTTCTCTTCTCCCTCCTTCGCTCCCTGCCGCAAAGGCGTCCTCGGGCCGGCAGGGCAGCGCCCTGCGGGTGGGCAGGTGCTTCTGCTCCCGGTCGCTCCCGGTTCTGCACTTTCCGTTTATTTTTCCCCGTGCGCGGCACCGTTCACGGAGGTGCAAATGCGGAGCGTGAGAAGGGAGAGCGGTGCCCCGGGGCGGGCGGGCAGCGGCGCGGGAGGAGCGCGGAGCGATGCGGGCCCGGCCCCGACGGGGAGGACGGCGCGGCTCCGGCTGTGCGTGTGCAAGAGCGTGTGTGAATGTGAGTGTGTGAGTGTGAGTGTGTGAGTGTGAATGCGTGTGAGTGTGGGTGTGGGTGTGAGTGTTCGGCCCCGGCCTCCGCCCGCCCCCGCGCATCCCCGGCCCGCAGCGCACCGCTTCTATCGTTTATCGCGACAGGCGGCGAACGGCGGCGGCGGTCGGAAGGGACCCAGGGCCGTGTTACCGGGCTGGCGAGCCCGGCTGGGCGCCGCACGGCCCCGGAGCGATGCCGCCGCAGGCGCCTCTATCCCAAAATCACCTGTATGACTGCACGGGCACGGGAATGCCCTGCAGCTSCAGGTAGCGCGGCCGTGGGGGTGCACGCAGGCACGGCTCGGGGTGGATGGACCCCACGGGGGATGATACACCCCAAGGGGGGTGATGGACCCGAGCCGTGTCCGTGCCATAGGGCGGTCAGCCCCGCCGTTCCTATTGGGCCGAGCCCCGCGGGCGGACATCCCATGGGATGCCCCCTATGGATTATGGGGCCGGCCGTGCCCCGGTGCGCCCTGGGGCTGCGCAGGCGGACGGGGGGCTCCGCGAGCGGACACCAGCGCGGGTATTGCTGTTGTTGTTATTATTATTATTGCTGTTATTGTTTTTTATTATTATTATTTCTCTCCGTTCGCAAACGGTTCCCGAGATCCGGGGCGTCCCTGCGGGCCCGGAGTGGGGGAACCCCACCGGGGACAACCGGGAGATGCTCGGCCCCCCCACAGGGGCCCGGAGAAAGTTGAGGGGGGGGACCCCGGGCGGCAGCGGGGTCTCGCCCGAGCCGCGGGACAGCCCGGCCAGGGTCCGAACGCATTTCGGGGGACACACGGGGGCACGGGGTGTCTGCTCCGGGACAGGCTTCCCCCCAATTCTGGCCACTGCCCTACGGAACCCCCGCGCTATTCCGTGCCCCGCACGGCCCCCGGCCCCCCGAGCGGCTCTAATTCGTTTTCCGTGGGTTTTTCGGTGGTGCCTCTGCCCGTGGCTCTTTGAGGGGCCTGTCCCCGTTATGCCCCGTTTCGGTCCCCTTGCCGGACTCCGGGAGGGGGCAGGAGGGCCCTTTAACCTCTTTCGCCGCATCAGAGGAGAAAAAAATCCCAGTCAGGAGCACAGAGCCGGAGCAGGGATAGGGACGGGGACAGCCAGGGTCTGTCCCATGGCCGTATCCCGAGTAACGGTGCCGGTTCCCGCCCGCTGGGTCACTTCTACGGCCTCCAAATCCCTCGACTTGGGAAAAAATGAGGTGCCTAAACCCCCCTAAAGCAGCATCGCCCCAGTGTAGCTCAATGGTCTGGCCCTTCTCGGGGCCACCAAACTCCTTTGCCCATGACATTGTCATTCCTGTACTGACTGATGGATGCCAGGAATAAGCAAGAAARAATCCAACGAGATATTATTGTTATTATGGTTATTATTATTATTACTAGTACTACTACTCTTACTACTATTATTATTACTATTACTATAGCTATTTGTATTTCTATTATTGCTATTATTGTTATAATCTCTATTATTGCTATTATTGTTAGCATCATTTATTTATGTGCAAAAAAATGGAAGAAAGAAAATAGATGGGGCAAGGCTGCTGCAAAAGTTCCCATCCTTCTGTGGTTTTCCCGCTGCCCCAGCCCGAGCCCTGCGGCCGCTGCCAGCTCCCAGCCACCTGCTTTCATGTCGTGACAGATGTGGRGCCTGATCCTGCCTCAGTTACACAGTGCACAGCCCCTCCGAGCCGAAGGAAATTGCTTCTGGCCAGGGGACCCTTTTCCAATAAGGAAMGAGGGTCTCCCCCCAGCCCCCAGCAGCACCTCGTTATTTCATCGTGTGTGCGAGGAAAATCCGTGACGTTTCACTTTTTTATCATTATTAAATCACAGTTTTTCYTCTATTTAAGCATCAGCCTGCTTATTTTAGTAGATGCTGTGTCCTACAGCATCCTCTTCTGCAGGATTCTGGGGACCCGAGCTGCCCCCCTCCTCCCCCGACAGATCGTGCCTAGACTTTCAGACGGGATTGTTAAAAATAAAATTCCGAACATTATTTATGAATATTGTTTTGCAAATCTCACCGAAGTCRAAACTTGTGCCAAAGCCTGTGGGAACAGCGCCCAGGTGCCGGCAGGCTCTGGCCAAGGGGCTGGAGCGGGGGGAGTGATTAATCGCCGCCGAGAAAGTCGTTTGCCCGCAGCAGGGAAATGAATTGGAAGGGTTTTGCATGTGAAGGAATGAGGTTTCCTCCCCGCAGAAAGTTTTTTTTTTAAGGAATCCCCGAACGGGCGCTTTCCCTGGGTTCGGTGCAGGCTCCGGTACCGGCGAACCGGGCCGCCTTTGTGCTCCGTTTCTCCRCCCGCATTCGCGGACACCCATTGCGCAGCACCCGCCAGTTCCATCCCCAAAAAGAGCAGAACGCAGCCCAAAAGCAGGGGCTGCTCGGGCCCCGCGGTGCCGGGCAGAGCCGGGCTGGGGTGCGGTGGAGAGCGCATCCCCCGGCGCTGCCCCCCAATCCCCCACACTCGGTTTCAGAGGGGTTCTGCGGTCTGAGGGATCGCCGAGGCCGCGGGCGACTTTGTTTCGTTTCAATCGTTATTTCTGTCGTTTTTCCCGTCTGTCGGGGAGAGAGGGGGCTGGGAAGAGGGACCCGCCGCTGRTAAATCACGGTAGCGGCGGGGGCGTGGGGCCGCTGTCGGGCCATCGCTCGGGTCCCCGTGCGTGGGAGGGTACGCGGGAGGCGGGGGATTGCGGATCTGCCCACGGGCTTTAATGGGATCCGGCCAAATCCCGCCCGGGCGGGCCACAGGGACGCACATGTGCGGTTCCCTCCTCGGCACATCACCCCGGGCAAGGGGGGACCCCCAAACTTCCCCTTCTCCCGGGGAAAGGTTTCTATTGAGGCTGCTGCATCCCTGGGGCGGTCCCCGAGTGGAGAGGGGGGGACCCCGCGGCTGTGTCCCCCCGGAGCAGGGTGACAAACCATCCTGTGGACAGAGCCGGGGGATGCTGGTGGSCACAGACAGCCAGGGAGCGCCTCATTCCTGACATACCGATTGCATCCATTAACTTTATTCCTGTTCTATAAAATAATTCCGTTGAAACGAGTGCAATAAATGCGAGGCAGGGAGGCAGCTGCCTCTGTTGCAAAGCACAAAGCAGAGCGCAGGGCTTGAATTTTACATATTTTCTCTCTGCAAGCAGAGGGACATCTCCTGGTTCCCCTGGCAGTTCCCCTTTTTTGTTATTGTTGGTA